AAAAATGAGTTAGCCCAAACTGACCCGTAAAATGTCGAAGCATGTATGTATTAGCTCAGATAGGGTGGGCTAGCCCATATTGACAGCTTTAACATTTATGAGGAGAGAGAAAAGTGAGTCTACTTTTGATGGACAATTTGTTAAGCAATTCAAAGTCTTCAATTATTTCTTAAACTTCGTGCCGAATCAAATGGTGCCACATAAAATGGAACTAAGAGAGTATTCTTTTTCCTTTTGAGAAGTAGAAAAATGGGGAAGAAAATTTTTATCAAAAAAAAACCTGAATTAACCTTAATTTTCAGACCAAATCCACTCTAATTTGCAATATTTTGTAATATAAGATTATGCTTTATAAATAATAAGAAGAAGAAGAAAATTCTTTACTGTAATATAGAATTCTTAAATATATATGTGATGTGATTTTTCTTTTAATTTTTTAGCAATCATATCATGTTATGTTTTCAAAAACAATTTTATACTATTAGTTCAATTTACACAACTATTTTTTAATCAATTTAAACAATCATAGAAAGTGATTCCAAAAAAAAATTCTTAAAAATCGCTGCCAAGGCAGCGATTTTTATTTTTATTTTTAAATAAGGTACATCGCTGCCTAGGCAGCAATTTTGAAGAAAAATTTGCTTTTAATAAATATGTAAATCGCTGATGTGGCAACAATTTAAAAAAAAATTAAAATGTTAAATCACTGCCTTGGCAGCGATTTAAAGAAGAATTTTTTTTTAATGAAATCGCTGCCAAGGCAGCGATTTAACATTTTGAAAAAAAAATATTTTTTTTATAAATCGCTGCTTTGGAAGCGATTTTATTAAAAAAAAAATAAATTTAAATCGCTGCCTAGGAAGCTATTTTTAAAAAAAAAATTATAAAAGAAATATTAAATCAACGATTTTATATATAAAAAAAATTTATAATATTTTTTAAAATTTAAATATATAACTTATAAGAAAATATACATTATTTTTAAAAAATTAAAAATAAGTAAAGTAATAAATATATTTTCTTTCTAAAAAAAGATGTTATATTTAATTTAAATTTAAACAATATTTGAATTCAAATAAAATTTTAAATTAAAATAATTAGATTTTTTAAATAAAAAATTAAAGGCAGCGATTTTATTGATTTTTTTTTATTAAAAACAAAATAGCTGCCTACAGCGATTTCCTTCATATCTATCTATCTATCTATCTATATATATATATATAATTAAAGATAATCACATGTAAATAGTGTAGATGGATTGATTGATTCACATGTAAATAGTAAAGATTTTGTTTTATTATAAATTGTGAATAGAGAGTTCACGTGTAAATAGTATCAATATTTTACATTGTTGTAAATTGCCGAATTATCATTCATATTGCATTCTACCTTTTCAATTTCCAACAATCTTAGGTAAATAAAGTCATTTAAATATTATCGGAGAGTCTAGCCAAAATTTCAGTCATTTGAATTTTTTCTTATCGGATTCAACTAATAGGTAAATAAAGTAATGTTTTCTTATTTCTTAAAAATTATTTTTCTTATATGTAATATATTTATATTATTATTTTTATAGGTATGATCAAATTTAAAATGCAGTGAATTATTGTAAACAAATTGTAAATAATAATGTTATGGGTGATGAACGAGTTGGTGAGTTGCACAATGATGAACCTTCCAAGCATGAATTAACAGACAGTGATGATATGTATGACGACGATGATGATAATGTGGATAATGCACCTAATGCTCGTAATGCATCCGTTGAAGATCAAAGTATTAATTATCATTCTACAGCGATTCCATACTTAGATCACACTGAAGAAAATACAGAAGATTTTATCTACACGAGAGATGACGGTTCCATTCGAACGACACTTTGGAATTCAAACAATCCTAAACATATCCAGTCAGGTTCGGTTGTTGAATACTAAATATTTTATAGCTGTTTATTTATTTATTTCATGTTGATTAATTTAATTTGTATATGCAACTAGGTATGTTATTTATGAATAAGATGCAAATGAAATTTGCAGTAAGAGCATATAATCTTACTATTAAAAAAGAATTTCTTTTTGATCAATCCAAAAGTAAAAGTTGGAAAGTTATTTGCAAGCGTCATGAGTTAGGATGTGATTGGATGATTCGGTTTAGAGAGATTTCAAGCGGTATGTGGAAGACAGGAAAAATGATTGAACCTCATGAAATTATCAAAGGAAAGCATCACTATACTCCTAGTTATAGAAAAGCACAAAAAGGTCGAAGAAAAACATTTCGAATGGTTTATGGTGATTTTGAAAGTTCATTTAAGGCATTACCTCGATACATGGATGCACTACAATTATTCAATCCAGGCACTATTATTGAGTGGAAGCATCATTCTTCAACAATGCAAGGTGAGCAAATTTTTAAATTTCTTTTTTTGGGCTTTTAAACAGAGCATTGATGGTTTCAAAAGTTGTAGGCCGGTCATTTCTATCGACGGCACACATCTTTATGGTTTGTATGATATCAAATTATTAATTGCGGTTGGAATTGATGCGAATGGAAATATTTTTCCACTTGCATATGCTTTAGTTGCACGTGAGAGTTTTGAGTCTTGTTCATGGTTTCTCAAGTTATTATGGACACATGTAGTTTGTGAACGATAAGGAATTGGTCTTATTTCTGACCGTCATCAAGGAATCTTGCAGTGCGTTCAATCTTATGATTGGTTGAGTCCACTCAACACATATCATAGATTTTGTGTTCGACACTTAAAAACAAATTTTAATAAAAAATTTGTAAATAGTGAAATCGAAAATCTAATGTGGTTGGCTGCTACTGAGCATCAGGAGAAAAAGTTTGTGCAACAGATGCAACAAATCAAAACATTGTCTCTTGCAGAATATGAATGGTTAAATGAATTTCCTTTGGAAAAATGGACAATGTATAAGGATGGTGGTCGTAGATGGGGTGCCATGATGACAAATGTGTCTGAGTCATATAATGATTTGTTGAAAAAAATCTCGGGGGCTTCCTGTGACTGCCATGGTTCGAATGACGTTCAAAGATCTCGTTGATCGTTTTGTCGAAAGAAACAATCTTGCAATTGCATTACTTCAAAGTAATATGTCATGGCCTCTTGCGATAGATAAAAAATTTAATGATTATTATCAAAGAGCTCAAGGGCACACAGATATGATGACTTACAACACATGTGATGGAGTTTTTGAAATTCTTACTTTTGCTCATGATGGTAAAGGTGGAAATGTCCACAAGGTTACTGCAAAAGGTAAGAAATGTTTTTGTGGAAAATGGAGAAACTATCATATGCCTTGTTAGCATGCCATCAAATTTTGTGGACTTCGCGGAATCGAGCCAAAATCTTATGTAAGTAAATTTTACGGTGCAAAATATTACAAACGAACATACATCGAGACATTTAACCCAGTGGGTGATGAAATGTATTGGCCACTAGCTCCTTTTAATTTAATTGCAAATACTGAATATTTGCGAACAAGTGGTACGCAAGTAAGAAGTCGGCTTAAGAATGATATGGATATAGCTCCGGCTCGCATGACTAGAAAATGTAGTGTTTGTAAGGAGACAGGTCACACAAAGGCACGATGTCCTATTAGATTTTTAATATTTTGTCTATGTTTTTAAGGTTAATGTATTTTTATTATCTTGTTATTAATATTATGATATATCTTTTATATTTATTTGTTGACATGAATTCAATTTGTCTTGTGCATTTTAAATATTGTACGTATAATGTCTTTACATTATTATTATATTATTGATTTGAACTCTATTAAAAATAATGATTTGACCTAATATAAAAGGTATTGATTTGACCTAACATAAAAAGTATTGATTAGACCTATGACAAAAAAAAATTAAATCCTGCAAACTTGTTCAACCATAAAAAAAAAGGAAAGAATCTCATTACTTTGTTCAAACTTGCATGAAACAACAAAATTTACATATTTCCAAAGTCGAATCTTCAGCCTTTTAGAATAAAGGTGCATAAAAAAATTATTCTTTTGAATCCGAATCTTCTACATCTTCATTTTCAAAATCTTCCTCAATTTTAATAGTGACTGTTGTTAGGACCGAAATAAGCAGGTGTAAACGCGGAAGCTAGCAAAGCGAACCTCAAAAGACCACGAGTAAGAAGACAACGAGAAATATACCAAAAGACACAAAGATTTAAAGTGGTTTGGTCAATCGACCTACGTCCACAAAGGAGATGAGCAATCCACTAAAAATATGAGAGTACAAAATACAGAGAGAAACAACCTCAACCAATTCACTTGGAATACATGGGAGGTTCACACAAGTGATAAAACTTGTGACCCATAAATTCTCCCCCTAACCAAAACTCTCAAAACCCTTAATACTACATTGTGAATGCTAATTAAGTTAGAAAGAACATTCCTCTATTTATAGAGTCCTAAACCTTTTCCTACCAGAAAAAGGATTAGTCAATCTAAAACCTTTTCCTAAAAGGAAAACCTATTTATGGTAAGAAATCACGGCAAATAAAACCCAACAAATCTCCCCCTTGACCTGAATTTCTGACAAAATAAATTTGTTCACCTTCTTCACTTAATCTTCAACAACTTGCTTCTCCTCTCCATAATCTCCTTTGCAAAATTTATGTATCAACACAGAGAACCTCTCTGAAACAATTTCTCCAACAAAATCTTCATTACTGTCAAAAAGGTTGCGAGTACAACTACACCCGTCAAGATGAACACCTCTTTCTAACCTGGTTCAATCATCGATTATCGAACCACTGAACCTGACTCCGTCATTGAATCTGGCTATGATACCACTTATTAGGACCGAAAATAAGCAGGTGTAAACGCGGAAGCTAGCAAAGCAAACCTCGAAAAACCACAAGTAAGAAGACAACGAGAAATATACCAAAAGACACAAAGATTTAACGTGGTTCGGTCAATCGACCTACGTCCACAAAGGAGATGAGCAATCCACAATAAATATGAGAGTGCAAAATACAGAGAGAAACAACCTCAACCAATTCACTCGGAATACATGGGAGGTTCACACAAGTGATAACGTATCAAACTTGTAATCCACACATTCTCCCCCGAACCAAAACTCTCAAAGCCCTTAACTCTACATTGTGAATGTTGATTAAGTTAGAAGGAACATTCCTCTATTTATAGAGTCATAAACCTTTTCCTAACAGAAAAAGGATTAGTCAATCCAAAACCTTTTCCTAAAAAGAAAACCTATTTATGGTAAGAAATCAGGGCAAATAAAACCCAACAACTGCATGTTCCACATCTAGTTGATTTTTTTAGCCTAGATGTTCTCCAAGGTGGATTTTGTCTATTAAGAACTAAATTTTGTGAAGCCCCAACATTAAATCTTGAATCATCGGACACAGTTACCTATAATACAATATAATATAATCTAATCAAATAAACATGCAATAAAATTAAAAAAATTGATACAAAGTTAAAAAAATTGTATGAAAATTATTATACTTACATTCGAAAAATTCAATCTTCCACCAAATGGAGAATTATGTATAGGAAATTCACGCATACCATGTTGAATACCATATTGAGATCCACTAAATTGCGCAAAACCAGATATTGGAACATGTGGAGTTACAAAACCAACTGTTTGCTGACTAGAAAAATTAACATTAGTGTTAGAGGGCCCTGTAGAAAAATCAAACGTGGGATAATAAGGCTCGGCAGTCGCCACATTAGTGTTAGAGGGCCCTGCAGAAAAAATCAATTGTTTCACCAGCGACCCTTCTACCTCGACGTGCACCCTCTCTCGGTATTGTTTGTCTTGATCGGCGAGATACTTGTACTGGTGATGGTTCATCGTATTGAGTGGGAGGATTGTAATCAGGATCAAAGCTCAACCACGTTCCCTGAAAGTCCGCATTCATTGACTCCATTGAAATACGAGCGACTTCCTCTGCATATTGTCTCATTTCATTAGATTGATTTTCATCATTTTCAATCATCCGAGCTCGACGATACTGCATTTCATGACCCCTAGCCTATAATGAGTAATAACAAAAAAATTATTAAAGATTGACATAATAATTTAAAATTTACATAATATACATACTAATGTCTCATGTCTTCCTGCCATGTGTTGATACCCTTTTTGTACAACATGTTGTGGATTTCCAATGACCATGCGGGTATGCCTCATTACCAACGAAAGTAATCGGTTTGATCACTTACAAATGGAGGTCGAAATATACGATTTTGACGTTGTTCCCATAAATATTGTGTGTAATTAAATGCATCTATATCTTCTTGTTTTATTTTGGATCGTTTATCACACTTAAAATGATATTCGACAAATTGGGTACACGGTCCAGGAATATGTTGTAAATAACCAAACTGTCTCACAACACGATCAACCATGTGCCACTCACGATAAATTTCATAAATCAGTGGCACCTGTGCCATCCAGACACGTTGTCCTGACCGACACCACTCAGGCAATCCATTAATAACATCTTCCGAATAAGGTTGCCAAATAAACTATAAAAAAATAATTAAGTAAGATAATTATAAAAACAACATTGACAGAAAAAAAATATGTACGTGAAAATGAATAGTTTAAGATACTAATAATATTAAATACCTGTTCATCAGTTAAATTATCTAGTACATCCCTAATCACACATATTACAGTTTGTGCCTCATTTTGATGATTTCTACGTCGCGTCCATTTACGTGCAAGCGCAGTTGAAACCTCAAGTTGATTGGTCCTTAGAGGCTTTGGCAATGGTTGCAGGGGAATAATTCTTTCTCATGCCCAAATCTACAATAAATAAATTCACCATTACTTATAATGCACTTAAATTTAAAAGTGCATATTACTAGTATATAAAAAATATTTAATTAAAAATTATGTATACCTGCACTAAAGAGAGAAATCCACAAACTTCATTTGATTTTTTCATTGATGCACGGCATAAACAATTATACAAATATGAAAATGCGGCTGATCCCCATGCTTGAGTTGACAATAAATCTTAATTTCTCATGTCAATCAAAATGTCCAAATTAATCTTATTATTAGATTTATCCGAAAATATTGATCCACCACATAACCATAATAAATATAATCTAAATCTTTGTTGAACTTTATGCTCAGTTGAGTTATCATTAATACCATCCAAACCTTCGATATAATCAATCAATTTATATGTTAACAATCTACTAAAACCAGAAAAACAACTAGTATCGGGTAACCATCATGTTAATTCAAATGTCATTTCTGTCTACCTATAATCCCTAAAGAATCAGCTCCATTTAAAATTATACGACTATCATCTACTACCATTCCGAATAAAATTTCAATATCATGTAAAGTTATGGTAGCCTCGTTAGTTCGCATGTGAAAAGTATGAGTTTCTGGACGCCACCTTTCAATTAAAGCAGAAATTAATCCGGAGTCGCACGACACACATCCTACATCAAGAATTCCTTTAAATCTACAATTTTTAAAATATTGATGGATGCGAGAATATAATGGATGATATTTTATATGTTGCCAAAATTTAATATCACCACGAAGCGTATATAAGCAAGACCTCTCTTCTTTTATGCTACCATTCCAAATTCCTTCGGAACGATGATGAACTTGAATTTTTAATACATCATGCTCTACTGGACCGGATGTACGTATACATTTGACGGATGCATATCTATACACAAAAAATAAAAAGAAATATTAGCATTAACATAAGTATCAAACGATTGAATATATCAACAATATCATATAAAAATATAAAATTAAAAATAAAATAAATTCAAACTCACCTTATAAAGAAAATGCTTTTAAAAACTTTAGAGAATTAGAAAAATAGCAAGAATTTTAAGATTGTTGGAGAATTGAAAAGGTAGAATGCAATATGAATGATAATGCAACTTGTTGGAAAATTGAAATGGTAGAATACAATATGAATGATAATTCAGCAATTTATAACATTGTAAAATAATGATATTATTTACACGTGAACTCTCTATTCACAATTTATAATAAAACAAAATCTTTACTATTCACATGTGAAATCAATCAATCCATCTACACTATTTACATATGATTATCTTTAATTATTTACATATATATATATATATATATATATATATATATATATATATATATATATATATATATATATATATATAATCGCTGTAGGCAGCTATTTCGTTTTTAAAAAAAAATCAATAAAATCGCTGCCTTTAATTTTTTATTTAAAAAATTTAATTATTTGAATTTAAAATTTTATTTGAAATCAAATATTATTTAAATTTAAATTCAATATTATATCTATTTTTAGAAAGAAAATATATTTATTACTTTACTTATTTTTAATTTTTTTAAATAATGTATATTTTCTTATAAGTTATATATTTGAATTTTAAAAAATATTATAAATTTTTTATATATATAAAATCATTGCTTTAACATTTTTTGTTTTATTTTTTTTTTTAAAAAAATAGCTTTCTAGGCAGCGATTTATAAAAAAATTTAATTAAATCGCTTCCAAGGCAGCAATTTATAAAAAAAAAATTTACAAAATCGTTTCCAAGGCAGCGATTTATAAAAAGAATTTTTTTTTAACAAAATCGCTTCCAAGGCAGCGATTTACATATTTATCAAAAAAATGTTTTTTTTAAATCGCTGTCTCAGCAGCGATGTACCTTATTTCAAAATAAAAAAAATTAAAATCGCTGCCTTGACAGCGATTTTTAAGAATTTTTTTTTTGAAATCACTGCCGGCAGCGATTTCATTCAACGATTTCATTTTTTTATAAAAAAAAAACAACTTTGGCAAAATCGCTGCAGAGGCAACGATTTTGCTTTTTCAAGTGAGGTAAAATGTTGATGATGCAGCAATTTTACTGTTTTGGTTAGTATAAATTTTTATATACCATTTTGGAATTTTTGTTAATATTTTGTACCCTTTATGTTTCGGACTCTTCTATTAACAAAAGGATACATTTAATTAAATGTATAATTAAGTTTGAAACAAATTTTACAGGTATTCTAGTTATTCTGACAAAGAAACAACTCATTTTCACTCCGATTCAAACATATCAACTCTTATCAGTAGTTTCAATACTTTTATCCAAACACGTAATTTTTTTATTTATAAAATCGATTTCAAACACTTCAATATATTTTCCATCACTTAATCAAATGGACTCTTATATATAGATAGCTACACAAATATGATCTTAAAGTTTATTTTAGATCTTACTTTTTAATTCTCAAACTCTCTACGCATTCAAATACCATCACATAAATTGAAACAAAAAAAATATTATATCTCCAAGCTTCTTTAAGTTACATATATTATAGTGCGAATCAGTGTTTCCAAAAATGTTTTTTTGGGAGAGTCTGGGGGAATGGGCTTACTAAAAATGTTTTATTTTTGCTTATTTTCTTAATAATAAAAATATAAAATTAAATAACCACGAGACTACACATCATATTCATAAGACTTGTACTTCGAAGCTTATGTCTCATCATATACGGCATAAAATATCTCACTTCACGAGTCACGTCCCGTCTTTATCGTGGTGTCACGACCCAAAACGAGCCGTGACTGCTTAGTCAAGTTCGTCAATTGGGAAGCAATGGAAGAAAATCCCTTGACAAAGCGACGGTAATAGCTAGCTAAACCAACAAAGCTCCTTATTTCTGACACATTAGTAGGATCCACCATCAACCCATCCTTAGAAACCACATGCCCCAAGAAGGACACTGCATCTAGCCAAAACTCACACTTGGAGAATTTGGCATAAAGCTTTTTCTCCCTCAACATTTCCAATACAATTCTCAAGTGCTCCTCATGTTCCTTCTTGCTCTTTGAGTATACCAATATATCATCAATAAATACGATCACAAAGAGATCCAGATATGGCTTAAAAATCCCGTTCATCAAGCTCATGAAAGCAGCAGGGGCATTCGTAAGACCAAAAGACATCACTACAAATTCGTAATGCCCATACCTGGTCCGAAAAGCGGTCTTTGGCACATCCGTTGCCCGTATTTTCAATTGATTATAACCGGATCTCAAGTCAATCTTAGAGAAGACACAAGCACCTTGTAACTGATCGAACAAGTCATCAATGCGAGGAATGGGATACTTGTTCTTAATAGTTACCTTGTTCAACTGCCGGTAGTCTATGCACATCTGAAAACTCCCATCCTTCTTCTTCACAAATAACACCGGAGCACCCCAAGGAGATGCACTTGGTCTAATGAAGCCTTTGCTTAGCAACTCTTGAAGTTGAGCTTTTAACTCTCTTAACTCAGCGGGAGCCATCCTATAAGGGGGTATAGAAATGGGGCGAGTACCCGGTTCAAGATCAATGCAGAAGTCAATATCTCTATCCGGTGGCATACCAGGAAGGTCTGCAGGAAACACATCTAAAAACTCGCGGACTATCGAAACCGACTCAATTGGAGGTACATGGGTAGTATCATCCCTGAGATGTGCCAAGAACGCTAAACAACTCTTACTAACCATTTTCTTAGCACGAAGAAAAGATATGATACGGACCGGATTAGAAGTGTAGTCACCCTCCCACACTAACGGATCTGTCCCAGGCTTGGCTAACGTCACAGTTTTAGCATTACAATTTAAGATTGCAAAATTTGGAGAAAGCCAAGTCATACCCAGAATTACATCGAAGTCAACCATTTCTAAGATAACCAAGTCTACATGAGTATTGCTCCCCACAAACGTTACAAGGCAAGACCTATACACCTTTTCAACTATCATAGACTCACCCACCGGAGTAGAAACACGAATAGGCATGTCAAGCAATTCACAATGTAAATTAAGACCATTAGCAAATGCGGAAGATACATATGAAAATGTAGAGCCAGGGTCAAATAATACAGAAGCCATACAATCACAAACCAAAAGATTACCTGTGATAACAACATCTGACGTCTCCGCTTCCAACCGCCCAGGGAAAGCGTAACAATGGGCCCTATCACCTGTTTGCCCGTTGCCCCTACCATGTTGCGCTGCAGTAGTTCCCATTTGTCCGTCACCCCGGCCATTTTGGTGACCACCATTACCTCGGCCACCACGTCCTCCAGAATAACGGCCTCTACCATGACCACCTCTACCTCTAGCTATTGGGGGTCTATAACTCTGTTTTGGACAATTCCTCCTAATATGTACAGTCTCCCCACATCCATAACACTCTCTGGAGTCAAGCATAGGTCTCTCAGAGAAGTGTTGACCGGTCTGAGGTGGACCCCCAACTACAGTCTGTAGTGAAGACTGAATTGGTCGGACTGAGTAACCTCCTGAACCCTGTCCTCTAGAGTAAGAACCATTAAACTCACCTCCCTTTCGAAACCTTTTTGATGTCGATGCCATGGTGAAGTCATCTGGCTTCACTCCTTCCACCTCTATCACGAAGTCTACCACTTCTTGAAAGGATTTTGCCGTAGCCGCTACCTGTAAGGCTGAAATCCGCAATTCTGACCTCAACCCCTTCACAAAACGGCGAATCCGCTCTTGTGGACTGAAACAAAGTTGGGTGGCATACCTGGATAATGTACGAAACTTAGCCTCATATGCAGTAACCGACATCCTACCTTGTTCTAGGCTCAAGAACTCATCTCTTTTCCTATCCCTCAAGGTCCGGGGATGTACTTCTCCATAAACAAGCTAGAGAATGATGCCCAAGTCATAGGTGGTGCCTCTGTTGGTTGACACTCAACATATGACCGCCATCACATTTTGGCGTTCCCTTGAAACTGATAAGTCACAAACTCAACACCAAACCGTTCTACTATACCCATCTTGTGTAGTAGCTCATGACAGTCAACCAGAAAATCATAGGCATCCTCAGATTCAGCACCCTTGAAGACTGGAGGTTTCAATTTCAAGAACTTACTGAAAATTTCATGCTGATCATTTGTCATTATAGGCCCTGTAGTCAGACAAGGAAACGTGCCTATTTCCAATGAGGCATCCATGCGGGGAGCCACAGTAGCTGCATGTTGTACCTCCGGAACCTGAGGTGCTGGTGCAGAAAACACTGGAGGTGTTTGACCTTGATCAGATAACCCACTAAGATAAGCAAGAACCTGATTGATCATCTCTGGGGTAGGTTGGGGTGGTAGTTCCTCATTCTGCACTTGCTCAGTTTCCCCTTCCTCACCCTCTCTTACTACTTCCTCAGTCGGTGGAGGAGTCACCGCCCTAGTACTAGATGGGAGGGGCGCTTGTCCTCTTCCCCTAGAGGACGTCCTCCCACGACCTCTACCACGGCCTCTTGCCGCTGCTCTTCCTCGAGCTACAACCCCAGTGGCTGGCTCAGACGCTTCTTGTCTTGCCGGTGTTGGTGTTGGCGCAGTCGTTGCTCTAGTTCTAACCATCTGCGAAATAGAGTGAAGATGGTCAGATACAAATTTGTATCACCTAGATATCAATTGGATCCAAGTAATAGCACGAAAGAAAGAAAGAAAGAATGGAATTTTCCTAAAGTCTTATAGCCTCTCAAAGAAAAGTAAAGGCGTTCCCCTACCGTTCCTTAAGACTCTACTAGACTCGTTCTTGTGTGATTAGACCAACGAACCTAATGCTCTGATACCAAGTTTGTCACGACCCAAAACGAGCCGTGACTGGCACCCACATTTATCCTCCTATGTGAGCGAACCAACCAATTTAAACCCCAACATTTCAAACATAATAAATAGAAAAACAATGCGGAAGACTTAAAACTCGTTAACAAACTCAAACTTACCATTATTCCCAAAATCTGGAAGTCATCATCACAAGAACATCTATTCTCAAATTACTAAAGCTAAGAGTATCTAAGAAACTAAAAACAAAAACAAGATATAGTCCATGTCCAAACTTCAAGGACATCAAGACATGAATGAGAGAGAATCCATTCCGAGCTAGGAACAATAGCTCACCCTTAAAACTGACGCGGTGAAGACTGGCTAGAGTTGTTGTTGAGTAGAAGACGACGGCACGTTTGCTGCGCTCCACAATTTAACAAAAAGAAACATACAAGTAGGGGTCAGTACAAAACACGGGTACTGAGTAGATATCATTGGCCAACTCAAAATAGAAAATAGTATATATCAGATAATATCATAAATCAACTACAATACTCAACATGTAGTATTTACAATTACCATAACCCTTGGTCACAACACCAAGCTCATCAAAGAGGACTCACGCCTCCCCATCATACTCATATGGGAAATAGGTTCATTAAATTGAGTATATTGACATCTTTCAAGATTCATTATCTTTATTTCTCTTGTGTCGGTATGTGACACTCCGCTCTCCTACTATTGTGTGCCGAAACGTGGCACTCCGATTCCCTAA